TTATTTTGTAATTTGATATGGAATATCTCTGAAGCCATTCTCTTAAAAAAAGAAATTTTCCGTGTATAAAATTGTATGGACATATTTGGCATATAAATTTGCATAATTAGACATAATTATTTTAATTTGTGTATAAGTATATATGAAAAATGTTTTACCGGGCGTATGTTTATTCATGTAAAATAAAATTAATTTCACCATTAATTTAATTTTTTTATCTATTGTAAAAATTTTGCACAAAAATGGCATCATGAATAACGATAATCTTGCAATGATTGCACTAAAATGATTCGCCATAACGTAACAGTTTTGTCGAAATAAAATTTTGTAATATTTGTCAAAAAATTGCGAACAATCGTTATGCATTTCCATAAGTATATACATGAATTTTTGTTGATTTCTTCATATGCAATTATATTTCTACATGTTTTAAACATCACATAGCTGAAAGTTTTTGTTTTTTGTTCAAAAACATTTGGCAGCAAGTTCACTTCTGTAGCTTGCACATCGTTGGTTTGATGTGATGCCTCCTCGCCAGAGAGGTTCTCCGTCTGAGAGAATCCATTCGTGAAACCAGGTTGATCTCCAAGTGAGACGTAGTGGTGGATTTCTTCTTCTACAGAAATCCTGAAGAGAGAGCCCGGTAAACAATTTTTCATATATACTTATACACAAATTAAAATAATTATATCTAATTATGCAAATTTATATGCCGAATATGTCCATACAATTTTATACAAGGAGAATTTCTTTTTTTAAGAAAATGGCTTCAGAGATATTTTATATCAAATTACAAAATAACTCTATTAGTATCATGTTAGATATAAAATAATTATATAAAACTAATATAATAATAAAATATAGTAAAAAAAATTTTTACTATATTTTTAAACAAGTTTTGATATATAAATCATATATACTTATACACAAATTAAAATAATTATATCTAATTATGCAAATTTATATGCCGAATATGTCCATACAATTTTATATATGGAAAATTTTTTACCGGGAGTTTTCTCGTCATTATGTTGTCTTTTGCTTTTTTTTCGTGATTCTCTCTTTTCAAGTTTTTGTACGCTGCAACGATGAGATCCAGAAACAGTAATGTTGGATTTTTAAGGCTTTCTAATCTTTTCTGATAAGAAAATAAAAGTTTTTTGCCATTCTTTTTTTGCTCTTGCGAGCGACGATAAATCAGCGCGAGACTTTTATTTTTAAGGCGGAAAAAGAAGAGGCTGCGAAGAAGAATTGCACCGGCGAAAGAATTCACTGGTCCGGTGGTCCGAAACTGCTCCTGCTCCGGATCCCGGCTGAGGTCGAGTCGACTCGACCGTGACGACCGACAACTGGGCTGACGACGTCGCACCGACAGCGGCTACCGCTATTCCTACACCAAGGGGTCGATTCTGTATCACGCAGTGTAGTGAAAATTACAAAAGTGAGCGAATTTATTAAAATATCTATGATCTTATTGGTCAACTAGTAAATTTGCTCACTTTTGTAATTTTCACTACATTGTATGGATATAGAATCGACCGTCAGGTAGGTACTGCATCATTACCCTAAACCAGCGGCGACTGGGCTGCGCAGGCAGACTGTTG